ATTTGTACATGGAGAGAATAGTCAGGAGCTGCCAAGGCGATGAGGGTATCGATATAGGAGATGTTAAGTCAAGAAGGGTGCTGTTTGCAGACGACCTTGTTTTATTAGCATCTTCTGAAACTGATCTCCAATGCTCCTTAGAAAGGTTCACAACCAAGTGCGACGTGACCGGCATGCATGTGAACGCATCTAAAACGAAAAGTTTAGTGTTTTCTCCTTCTCCTGCCCGTCGGTCTGATCAGATTAGCGGAAGGGCAGTGTTGCAGCTGGAGAATTTCAAGTATCTCGGAGTCGTATTTGCTAGTGATGGAAAATTTGAGGAAGAGATCGAACGGCGAGATTGAAGTAGCCAGTGGCGTTTCGCGTTAACCTGCCCTATCGAATGTGACTACAGCAGAGCTCAATCACACTGAAGCATTCGGAGTTCAAACCGATCTTTATCCCCATGCTTACATACGGTCATGAGTCGTGGACCATCACGGAGCTTTCTTAGACGAGTCGCTGGCCTTCGCGTCTCGACTTAGTCCGGAATACAGATATCCGGGAGAGGCTTTGTGTACAGTCTCTGCTTTTACAGATTGAAAAGTGAGAGCTGCGATGGTTTGGACATGTGTTGCGAATGCCTTCCGAAATGAAGGCTAAGCAACTCTTTGTTACCAAACCGACCGGCAGAAGGCCCAACGGACGGCGAAGATTAACCTGGTGCAAATATATAAAAGGAGTCTGTTCGAAACTCCAGTTGTCTTTTGCCGAAGCTCAGACTCTGGCACAGGATTGGGAACGTTGGAAGCTGTCTGTCGCGTCCGCCTCCGCGAGCCGAAAGGAGAAGCGGCCATGGAAGATGAATGAATGAGTGAATGAATATCGGTCTTTGCAGCCTGATTAGCGTGAAACAACGTATTTCCACAGCCAAAAATATTACTTCGCTAGTGAACTTAAATAGCATCCTGGACATCTATGAGCAAGCTGGCAGAAATTCAATGCCGTCCAACCCGTTTTAGCGAAGCACTGCTTATTAAGGGCGTACAGCGCATAACACTGACAGAATTCAAGCAAAGTGCAAACATTATAGAGGCAGTGGAAAGTGCCATATTCATCCAAAGTGTTGATTGCTTATTTGCTGTATTATGCTTCCAAAAGCATTAGAGACTATGGAAATGCTCCTGTCTAAATCCGGTGAAGTGATGGAATCGGTGGAGATGATGAACTTCAAGCACTTATGGTTTGCCAACATCGCCCGGCATTTTAATTTCCAGCTATACCTGTAAAAAGCATGCCGTGCCCGACGAGTTGTGCAATTTTACGTAACCACAACACATATGACGATACTTTGCAAAAATAGAAGTGTGCTAGAATCAGTACGGTAGGATAAAACATTCCTTTGTTCCCTTCCGGAAAAATCAACTATTCAAATCTTAGTTACTTAAACCAACGCGGATAAACAACAGTGTCTGACACACCGAAACACCTAACTACCTTTAGTACGAAGTGCTTTCTCTTCTGCTGTTGCTGAATGCACCAGATTCGACAGAGTTACAACGGCCGCCTCTAAAACTTCTTTTTCATCTTTCTCTGGTCTATATAATCATGTTAAAAAAACACAGAACAATTATTACACCTTACATTGAAATCAACGACGTATCATTGAACGACTGAGTATCACCTAAAAAACTTTTCAATGAATCAAATATACCCAATTGATTTATTGAAAACGTTTAGTTGCATGCAATGACGTAAATGCTCAAATTCATTACCTTCGTTTACGACAAGCGGTTTTTCGCAGCTGAAAAGGTACCAAACTGCCTGCCCGCCGAACCCATGACTACATTAACAAGTGAATGACATTACGATATTCTTCAGTGATACAGAGAATACATTGAAGAACCCCCTCAACCCGAGCAACAGCAGGGAAACGCGACTGAACAGCAGCAGATAACGAATACTAGTCTTTCAGTAGATGAAGTCGTACAAGCTATAAAAAGCTTAAAAAGAGGAATGGCTGCTGGAAACGATGAAATCCGCCTTGAGAGGCCTAAAGCTTTAAGCAAACAATGAACGTTCCGGCTAACACGTGTCTGTCAGACTGCAATGACTACGTGGAAGACACCAGTAGACGGGAGAAAGAGGTTGGCAATACCCGTTCAAACGAGATCATTGCCAGTAAAACATTCATTAAGGCATTATCTTATTGAGCCTCCCCGAAAAAGCTTATCCAAAGGAATTGGAAAGGAGGTGCCGCGGGTATAGTTGACTCTTAGATCCAAGAAAAGCAGTGCTCAGGCCGAAGCATCTCTGACCAGATCTCTGCCTTACGCCAGATTATGGATAAAACGCGAAATTTGGTTCATCTGGTTAGCAAGTGCTTTGTTGGCCTGGAGAAAGCCTACGCCTGGATCCCATACGGCACGCCATGGACATTCCCACAAACGGACGGGATCGATTGCCAGTTGATACGGGCCATACAATCACTATATGTTGATAGTAGGTGCTGCGTCAGAGTAAATAGCGTAAAGTCGAAACCATTTAGCGTTAACACTGGTCTCCATCAAGGCTGCGTTCTCCTCCCTCTCCTGTCTGTGCTGTACACGGATAGAATAGTCAGACATAGCCAGAGCGATGAGTCAATCAGTGCAAAAGATGTTGAGACGAGAAGGTTGCTGTTGGTAGACGATCTTATTTTGTTGGCATCTACTGAAACTGATCTCCAGGCGCTCTCTGGAAAGGTTCGCAGATGAGTGCGAGGCGGCTAAAAAACCAAAATCCTAATACTTTCTCGTTCCTCGTCCGCTGCGCTCTGCAGATGAAGGGCGAAGCAGTGGATCAGGTGGAGAAGTTCACACTTCAGGATCGTTTACTGGTGATGAAAATTTGTAGAAAAAGATCGACCGATTTTCTAACAGTGTCCGGTTCTTTTATAAAGGCGGACTTCCGCTTGATCGCAATTACGACCAAAAACAACCTGTGGTAGTGTCTTAAAGAATGTTCCAGACGCGAGATTTTTTCTGCTAACCCTCTAACGCTAGTTCAAGATCTGGACGAATGCTGGAGAAACTGTCTGATGCGTCTGCCTTCGCGACAAGATAGAATGAGTGGTCACCAATACTGGTGACTGAATGACCTCACGATTCTCTGCCTGAAAAAGAGATTCTGGGGGAACGGCGTTCACAAATGTCCAAAAATCAGATGAAGGATGGCGTCAGTTGTTACTGCATTCTGTCAGTGCCAGCCGGTGATCTGACCCGGCTGCTGTGGTGGATAGCGCCATGACTGTTGCCAGGGGAAATTCAATGCACTTGTTGCTTTGTCTTCGTCATCAGAGGCGAAGGGATTAAAGAGCAGAATAACCCAGATTTACGACGTCCGACTGTTAGAAGCGGTATTTTGGATCGATATTAGGCAGGTCAGATTCTTTGGTAAAGGCCACCCTACCGTCAGACTACCTTGGAGATGTATGCCACTCATCGAACAACACGTATCGTGAACAACGCGTGGCGCAGCCATTCAACGCCACAAGCAGTGTAACAACACCATGAGATTGGAACCCACGAAATGCAGTTAAAATCCTCCTGGAAGTCGTAGGAGGCCTGATATGATGAAAAGTATTGTGGCGTATACAATGACATCAGTGCCACGAACTATAAAGAACAACAAAAGTTTGCTTACGATAAGATTCAAACCACGAATCGCCTCGGTCGCTGTTGCGCGAAGGATGCTCAAAATCGTAATACTGTGGGGCGTCGAATTCGCAATTCATTTCGGAAGGATCAGGACCATCCATTTCGCCAGCCTAACTAAAATCACAATATAAGTCGGAAACGGTAAGTCATAGCTTAAGACGCAACGCCGTAAAACGTTAATGCCATATGGAAAAAGCAGTAACAACGGACTGACAGTTGAGACTGGGCAAGCGAAGAGAATACGCACCTTTCTATAAGGATAACACAATATTGGAACTACAAAACTGAAGAGCGCAGCGAATAGCAAAGTAACGCATTTTGCCCCTATACTTTCGAATATTGCCGAATATTTCGAATATAACATATACACCCTCTCGTCTTCAAGACGGAAAACATACAGCGATAAATCTAAGGCAATGTTTAACAGATAAAGACTGCTGACGAGTGCTTCCATACAAAACCTATGCTATTTGTGAAGATGTCAGAAACCTCGAAGTAATTAATCGACTTGTGAATTTATGGTAGGCTTATCGACTTAAATATTGAAGGCACTATCAAAAAGTGAAACGGAAAGTGATTGATAAGACAGCCCAAGTTTTCTGAAACCAGCATTAGTTTAATTGTCGTCATTGTTTGCTATTCGTTTCGAAACGCGTGACCACCTGTTTCAGGGGACGTTTTCATAATCCGCAGATTCGCCAATCGGGTAAGCTGCATGGGTTGGAGTACAGGATATAAGGCCTTTTATGTAACATTAAGCTTGAACGTCTTACAGTCGAGTCACCTAGTCGGCGGCCGTCCGTCCTGGGGCTGCCTTCCCTGATTTTGATCAGACTTCCCGTTGTGAGTCCCTACATATTGATCACATATCATACCATCGAAATTGTGATCTTTCAATTTGAAGAAGAGCCAAGACCAAACGCGCCCACTAAGATCATGAGCAGGAGCTGTTCGCATGCTCTGTAATAAGCAGTTCGTTCCTCGGCAATAGGTCGTACGAGGGGAAAGTCGCAGCGAAGTGGTCATCGTGCATCAACGACAAGATCCAGGTCCAAACGGCTTTTCAGTCATATAGCGAGACTCAACGGTGATGCTCTTTCCGTACATGTCGTTTTCAAATGATCCCAATTCAAGTCCAGGATGGAAGTGGTTCGTTTTTTTCATAGCGTCATTCCTTGTCGGAAGCCGTCGCAGCCGGGGTCAACGCCGATCGTAGAAGAAGCTACCTTCAGGAAAACTTGCAATCGTTCAGTAGTATTCTCTCTGCGAAAGCAGTGAAAAGTGCCTAAATTAGTGTCAACCCTCTTTTCGTCCTGCGTACACCATGAGGATAAGCGTTGCAGCTTCTGGCACACATACCGCTGCACTACTGGCCATCGAAGAAACATGAAATCGAAAATTAGACGCACCTTTCTATTCGCTGCAGAAAACTCCCTTCAAAAGGTAGCTCTAGAACACACCTGTTTGGTACAGCTGTCCTATACTGATGGCATGCACTGATGAGGGGAGAAACCGACTGGACAAAGTTCAAAGTAAGCACGGTAGACCCACATGCAAAACTTCCTGTAGTTTCTCTGAAAAACATGCCGAGCCCAGCAAGCAATAAATTTTTCTATAAAAGTTACAGTCATAACGTTTATATGAATCTCGTTAATTTCTCAGAGATGAAAACAAGCACTGGCAGAATTCCACTCAATTCCAAAAGGGGACACCTCGATGTAGATTCGATAATATGTAAGCACTGACGGAATCTGGACATCGATTCTTTAACAATCCCCAGAGATTATGATAATACAACATATAAAACGTGGCGTGAACAAAGGACATTGCCACAACCAGTGGTGAGTGTCGTACGTACCACAATGCCCATAATAGTACAGTTCGGTACCGCGACAATGCAGTCTCACATAACTGTGCTTAAACAGAAGCGAAGCTGCAAACCAAACCCTCAACGGATTTATGAACCGAAGAACTAGCAATAAATTGACAAAAACTTGACTAAGCTCAGAACATTCGAAAATACTTACAATCTGGTGTTCACTATCTACCATGGTAGTCAACTTGACTCGATAAAAGAAAAAATAGAAGCTTCTAAGGTTGTAGCTTTCAATTAGCTTATTACGACTGTCGCGATCTGTCACAGCTTTTTGTTAGCGTTTATGATGCGGCGCTAGTCAGAGTTAATGGCATCAAATAGTAGTGCTTAATTTATGAAGGTATACCTACTACAAGTGATAATCTCGTAGTACGTTATTCGTTTCCTTCCCAAGAAGTGACGGCCGATTATATTCCTTGTAAGCATGGTAAAAAAGTTGCCCGGTCTGGGTTGAAAGCCGCCACCTGTCAACACATATCCAAGTGTGACAATCAGCTATGAGGTAATTCATGGCTAACTGCAGCCACAGGCGCTCGCATCGGACAATACGGCCTATTCTGCTATGACCACACCAGAATACCAAGCTGTCTCTATTGTTCGCAAGGCAACAAGCTGATATTTTATACCTGGGTTGCACCGAAGCAACGTTGGGTAGATTCCTTGCTCAAGGAAACTCGTGATTAACGGAATTTTTCGACTTTCCGGGATTCGCACCCGGTACGTTCTACTATTCTACCGCTGTGCCATGGCCCTTCCATAATTCACTAAACATTAACTGCCGAATATTTTGTACTCAATCAACACTGCAGCAGAATACTGCTTTCAGAATTAGTAAAGCAAGCAAATACGCAAATGAGCGAGTAAATTACACATCAATTAGCAACTAATCTTTGAACAATAGGGAACAGAATACACAAAGCCATTACAAAACTCTCCAGACGGAGCGCTAACGGGCAATCAAATGAACCACAGTAGGTAAGTTCAGAAACAAGACAAGAGGAAACGAAACACATCAGAAAAAAATCAGAAATCGCATTATCCAGTTCACCTAACGCTGATTCACGAGAGAACATTATGTAGAATCTACGAAGAGCAACTAACAGTGCACAAAGATACATCGGAATTTCATACGATCTAGTTTGGATAAAACAAGCCATTTTGAAACATATGTTGCACACGTCTGCAAAAACATCAAGGAAACAGTGAACAACTATACCTCCTTTCAACAGTAAACATCAATGCAATAAGTGAGAGTTCAAAATACATCAACGCGGGAAAAGCTTTTCATTATTGCATATGGTATGTTATATTGTAAGCAGCAGGTTGATTAATTTAGTGATATGAAAGTACGTAACAAAAAGCGTAAACATACTTGCTGCGAAACTAAACCATTTAATGATCAAAT